CAAAAGTTATATTATGCATAGATTGCTAATTTGTCCTCCAGATGCATCGTCATCGGCACTGTGACGCCATGTGTAATGTCTATATCACAGAGTAGACTACATACAGAGACGTAACTAGTGTACCCACCTTTTTTGTGCGCATGCTCGGCAAGTTACTAGATGCATGCATCTGATTGGATGACGACCTGATGACGAATCACTTTGAACTTGCTGAGCACGCGCAGTTGATCATTTTTTGCCCGGTCGCCTGAAAAAAAGTGGGTACATGAAAACGTAAGCTTGTGCAGTGTTTACAACGGTCAGTTAAGCCTGGTTCACACGATGAACTAAGCATAAGCAAGCGGAACCTTTGATGTGCATAAGCATAAACATAAGAAGAACAAATCACGGTTGTGTTCTTATGCTTACGTTTATGAACATCAAAGGTTCCGCTGCTTGTGCTTATTTCATCGTGTGAACCAGGCTTTACGTCTCTGTATGTCTCTACTCTATGTCTACATGTAAACTCTTGATTAAGTCAGTGGCAGAAACAGTGGCGGTGCTTCCTAATATGTGATCATCCTTTAGGATGTAAATGTTCTTCCAATTTTCGAACATTGGCCATTGCGAGCCCGGTCTGCAAGCTTCCAGTGTTGAAAAATATTTTAACCACTCAATTTCGATGTAATATTGCGAGTAAAAGTTTATCAAAACTTGCGATGCTTACACATGCGTTAAATTGTGCCATATTTACTCAACGACAAGGGACTTCAATTTGAATCCCAAATGTGAATAATTTCAATACACAGACAATAGCTTTACATGCGGTGGAAAGGAACTGAAGGATTAAAGATTGGTTTTCATCAATGACGCCGACCAACCGCCGACTCATTGACGGTACACAACGGATTTTACTCGTGAGTAATCACCGAGAATGGAACTCGTCGAGTGTCCGCGTGATATGGAAGCCTGACTTTAAGAAGCTACAATATTGGTTGGAGACGAAATTTACAAAATCGGGCCTGCAAAGATTCTGTTGAAAATTCCGATGATTTCAGCCTGCATGGCTAAGTTTGGCATTGGTTTTATAATAAAATCATGGTGACACAATGGTTATTAAATTTTTTTACACTTAAATTTCTTAAAATTTAATGCCAGCATGTTCTCTTCCTTACTGTATATTATGATTGTGAATTGTATGACACCCGATGTATAAGTAAATACATCTTATATTTTTAAAAATTTCCCAACCGCTTATATAGCTAAGTGAATATAGTTATAAAGACACAATTTTATATGCCATAGTGTTATCATCTCTTCTCATACAGCCAATTACGAACGAAAACCGCCCACGGCCCACAGGATTGGATCGATCAATTTTCAAACATGCATAACTATTCCTCTGCATGCAACAAACATACATCTTCCATAGTTACAATACGATATAAAAGACAAGGGGGGGGGGGGGCAAGGGGATGGGGGCAAATGCCCCCCGCCCCCAAATTCGGAGGCCTGGCGCCGCCACTGACTATATGCATCTGCCTAGCTGACAAAGCCAGAAGAATATTAAGCTTGCGTGTCTCATTAATTATTCTTGAGTCTAACAGCTTTTAAAACAAACGAAACATTATTATTTTTTATAGCTATTAACAAGCGTATTGACAAGCTACATACACCAAGGTCTTGTTCAGCTTTGTTAATAAAACATCCTTCAACACCAAGCGGAATGTATTATATTAATCCCGAAGGACTTGGTTCATCGCCATTGGTTCAAGTATACTGTAATATGACGTCAGAGAATGGTGTTGGTGTGACGGTGATTGGACATGACAGTGAATCAAGAACACTTGTGAATGGATTTAAAGATGCAGGTTCTTACAGAAGAGGGATTGAATATAATATTTCCATGGAGCAGATTGTCGCCATTATAAAGCAATCCAAGAATTGTGAGCAGTTTATAAAATATGAATGTTACCATACCGTTTTATTGTACACTGCTACACCTTTTGGTTGGTGGGTATCACGTCAAGGTTCACCGATGGATTACTGGGGTGGAGCGGCAGTCAACAGTGGAAAATGTGCATGTGGAATGACCAACAGCTGTGCAAGTGGAGGGAAATGTAATTGTGACGCGAATGACCGGACATGGCGTGAAGACAGTGGATATCTGACTGACAAGAACACACTGCCTGTTACTGAGCTGAGATTTGGAGATACCGGTAACGCTATTGAGAAAGGATACTACACACTGGGAAAATTGCGATGTTGGAGTTAGGAGCGAACATTTTTGAGGGATAATAAACTGAAACGTTATGGTTATCACTTAGCAAAACATAGGACAAGTAATATAGAACACGTCTTTGGTAAAAGTGCACAATTAAAAAAAGCTGAACACAAACGTAGAACTAATAGGACATAATTATCACTAACAATATGCGCACTGTGGGTGGTTACCTGACTATATTAACTTCATGCTAGATATTCAAGGTTAGTACTATGCTTAATAATCAATATGCAGTTTCTTATAGCTTTATATAAATATAGGAAATTTGTTTCATGTTTAAGTAGAATGATAGAAAATGTTGCACTATAGAATTTAAACTGAAAAGAATAAAAGTGGATGATCAGAATATTGTTTTACGTCATTCCTTTATATGGGGTTTCAGAAAATGGTAGCCTTATAGCATTAATGAGTTTAAGATACCCCGGTTTCGGTGTACGGGTAGCATGATTTTGGTTAGCAATATTTTCGTCGATGTCTGTACCTTTACTCGTAATTAAGGTGCACATTTTTCGCATTATATCATTGTCTAGTGCAAGAAAACAGAAAAAGTATGATCGAATTACAGACATCAGTGAAAACTAGTAAACAAGATGACACTACTCGTACCCGTACACCGAAACCGGGGTATCTTAAACTCGCTAATAAGAAATTGCCCTCTCTTGGGACTGTTTACCAAAATACTGTGAGGTGCCCTTATTTGGTGTTCCAGAAAAAGTTGCAGAAACAAAACTCATAGTACGTCACTTGAATGTTTGAAACACATGCATGTGAAATACATATAGGTGATTTACTCGCTCATTTGAATGGCACAACAGTTTTAGTTCATAACTGTCACAAGACAAAACTCAAAGTGCCTTTTGCTTGTGTGATGGTCACTTTTTGGCACACAATTACATTTTTTGGCACTGTAGCTACTATATACGATGGCTAATCTTAGTCAATGAGAATAAGGAAATTGTTTCATGTATATATTATTTTAAAAGGAAATAAACCTTTGTTGTTGCTAATAAACCTTGCTTAAATTATTCAGTAAAACATACAAGTGTATCGCGTCTATAGCACAGTTCAGACAACATGTACAGTTATTTCTATAGTCAAACTTCAATATGGCGGAATGACCAGCTAGGGAAACTAGTGGCCAATTAAAGGATACACATTTATAACTACTCAGTATAAATTATATATGAACGTCCTGGTTATTTATCCATGCACCTAAGTATAGCATGGTCTGATTATATTAAGTATATATAGGCAGTCCTGGTGTGATTAACCAGACTATAATTAGCCTGCTTGCCGCCTGGAATTTCCAAGTGGGGATATATATATATATATATATATATATATATATATATATATATATATATATATATATATATATATATATATATATATATACGATATTGTTATATATATATCCAAACCGCGCCAGCAGAAGAGCTAGGGTTTCGAAGGTTGTGGAACTGAGGTAGGATAGCCCCACTCGAGTAGGCCTTAGTCTCCTTCGCAGCCGCTCTGCGAAGGTGACTAGTAATCCCTCTTCTCGACTAAGAAATTAATTAAATTTATCAATTTACTTGCATGGAAATTAACATGCATCACGCATGCACGTCACAAATGTAACTGAATATCAATGACACAGCTTGTGAGTATACGCTGAAAAACGTTTGGAAGTGGACCAGGGCAAATCTTTCTGCATGGTTATTCTATAGCACGAGTCGATTACTTAGAATGATATTTTTCGAATTGCCAAACATAAATCCGCAACAATCGATCCCCATTATGTTACGTTCTATTGCAGAACTTGGCATGCATATAGGATTGTATGTTGTGTGCACGATCATGTCGCATTATAAATGAAATTTGACATCTGAAGTGTGTTTACCTGCATGAATAATTTTCTTCACCGAGAAGCATATTTTGAAATTCATCGCGCATCAAACAAACTACACAAAAGGAATAATGTCGAAATTAAAACAACCTAGCTTTATAACAAATGTACATGCATGTTCCATGCATTGCATGTGTGCGTAGAAACACGCATGCTTGCATGGCCGATTGGCAGCATGGATTAATGGATTGGTAATAATTTCACTGGACTCTGCAGAGTCATCAGGGATGTTAGAATGTTAGGGTTCCAGCACCAAGTGAAGTGCAAGAATCCAAATCATTGAAGTCCACCTCATCAGGGATGACAGTTGTATATTTCCGAAATTACCTTGAACCACCTAAAATTGCATTCCTGCATTGCTTAAAAGTTGCAGTTTTTGCTTACAGTGTAAATAAAACAAAAGTTATTCCGAATAATAAAACAAAACTTCTTTTATTTTATTTTATTTTTGCTGAAATTATCAGCCGGAAAAGAATTATTCCGAATAAGGAGTGCATATAATATATTAACACGCAATTTGTAAAAACTGTATATTTCGAATCTAAATCTGATTCATTTTCAGCAGTGTTCGGGTTAGGTCAAGGTTAACGTTATTTAAGTGCATGCTTGCATGGTTTTTAATGTTAGGGACCGGTCATAAAGTAACTGCATGCTAGGGTGGGCCGGAGGGAAAAATAGGTTTTCCAAAAAAAACCCGGTGGCCTAAACTAAGAACCTAGAAAAAAATTCAAAGCCCATCGTAAGTCATTGGAAAAATTTCACGACCCATCCTGCTATACATGAATATGTACAGTATAGCAGTCACTTTGATCAAACCATGCACTGAGTCACTTTGTCATAACTTTATAGAACAAATTAATTGGTTACATATTTAGAGTTTAGTATATAGTTTACACACCAAATAGATGTGATTTGAAATTGAAGAATCTTTATTTGATATCTCTCTTTATATTAATAGTACAAAGAAGTTCAGTCTTGTAAGGGACCGGTCATTATTTATGGAAGGGGGGGGAGGAGAATTTTTTCTTTTCTAAATTTTTAAAATGGAAAGCCCCCCCTAAAAGAACAGAAATTTAATGATGACCCCCCCTGCATATTAGAATATTTTTCTTTGACCTCCCCCCCATTTTCATTTTTACTCATCAAATGGGGATACCCAGTGTTAATTATTAAACAAGAATATGGAACTGGCAAGATATTAACGTCGACCAAAAATATATATTATAATATTAGCAGAAAATTATAATTAAAAGAGGAGTATTTTTATATATAGCACTAAAATCAGGTTTCCATTTGGTCTGGGCGATTGTAACCATGTTTATGGCTGCAACTAGACTTGATGGTACGCAGTATTGCCATAGCAGCTGCGCGGCAACAATGAGAGTAACAATCAGTAATATTAGCAGTGAAAAGGAGATAGCAATGACAATTCTGCCAAGGCATACCTACGAAATACAATGTATAGTGGTCTATACATCCTATTTTATATGAGATTAAAAATTATATAAAATAAAATTATATATACCACATATACTACTAGAATGAACATGGGTGGGTGGGTGGGGAAAAGGTATCGAAGCGCTAAATTTGCTGCAGCTAGGCAAAGCATACAATGGCAGAATGAATACCCAGACCGAAGCGCTGATCACAAGGCATCAAACAACCCCCTTTGATTGATATGACGTCACAGACTCCCCTCAGCGGATGTGACCTGCATAATACATCCGCTGTTAACCTTGCTTAATTTAAATGTATTTAACCACATCAATAATAATACATTGTCAATTTAACTAGTCTGCAACCCGTAAAGACTGATTTGCATACAGCACACACAAGACAAGATAAATCCAGACTATTTCACATCAGTGACCATGATTTAGTTGCAACATTTACAACGAAATGGATACCAGGTTATTAATTTAAGCAAATTCCTTCAAATTGAATTGCAACCCCCCCCCCCATCATTTTCTTGAAAAGATTTAATAGCCCCCCCCTTCTAGTAATTTATTTCTACATATGGCCCCCCCCTTATTTTTTCCCTCCCCCCTTCCATAAATAATGACCGGTCCCTAATACTGCCCTCAATCCTCGAAGATTGTTTCCATGCATGAGTACAGTCTCTGACGTGTATTTGTGCTCGTCTATTGCTTCGATCTTCGAAGTTAGTAAATCTTCCACAGCACTCAGCTTACAATTTTGCAGTAAGCCAACAACCTTCGGTTGACAAACGGGAGTTTTCTTGGATATCAGTGCGAATTCTATTGGATTTTTCATGTTTTTGCATCATCGTGATCATGATTCATGAATAAACGCATAAACATTTGATCTTTAATTTTGAATTCATTAGATTTATGTTAGTTTTGGTTACTCTCTGCATATAATTAAAAATTCAATTCTAAGTTTGAAGACCAAACACGGAGTACAGGATAAAGACACCGCAAGCCAGTGTACTACACCAATGTCGAGTGCTTCCCACAATATTACAACTTATAAACAAAGATAATTTTGGAAAAACCGTAGGGCCAGCACCAGTCACAAAGATTATTGGCAGAATCAAGCACGAGTCTCTGAGAATGGTACTGAAAAAATCTCTCAAGTAGATTTGTGCATGTGCTTAGCTTATTAAATCAGGGACAAGGTACCGTATGACAGCATTAAAAACTTTAGTCTGACTCTATGTCTTCAGAATCTGATTCTGAGGAAGGGTGATGTGGATATTTAATAATCAATGCCTGTAGATGTGACTTACAAAATATTAATGATATTGACAATAACAGGATTATGTTTTTATTTAATTTTAAAACTATTATTTTGTTATATTGAATAGTTGTAGTACGTATTGAGTGCAAACAGGCTATATGTGTTTCATGGCCCATCCATTTGCACAAAAACAAATTGATGGTCCACCCAAACTGATGAAAATAATTTCATGGCCCGTCCTTAATTATTTCCTCCGGCCCACCCTAGCAGTTACTTTATCGGACCGGTCCCTTATATTTAAGTCCACGCAAAGGTTTATCCAACTTGTGTAGTTTAATATATATATATATATATAGTTGGGATAATGGAATCTCATGGTGGATCGGGCGGATGCCTATACTAAAAATCTGTAACTTATATCAATGCTTTAAATAGTACGTATAAGCATGATTTTTTTTCTGTGTTGGTGAATATGATGCTTGTGATGGTACTCAGGTGAATATGATGCTTGTGATGTTACTCTGAGTGTGTATCCACACCGGGCAAGCTTGAAAAATATGCCTGACCACGGTGGGAATCGAACCTACGACCTTTGGAATACTAGCCAAATGCTCTGCCATCTGAGCTACGCGGTCTGGTCGGTTCGAGTATGTGATATTTCGGAACAGAATCTAGTTCCTTCGATATCAATGTAATCTAATAATCATGATTTTTTTTCTGTGTTGGTGTAATGTACTCAGGTGAATATGATGCTTGTGATGTTACTCTGAGTGTGTATCCACACCGGGCAAGCTTGAAAAAATATGCCTGACCACGGTGGGAATCGAACCTACGACCTTTGGAAAAAAAGTATCACATACTCGAACCGACCAGACCGCGTAGCTCAGTTGGAAGAGCATTGGGCTAGTATTCCAAAGGTCGTAGGTTCGATTCCCACCGTGGTCAGGCATATTTTTTAAGCTTGCCCGGTGTGGATACACACTCAGAGTAACATCACAAGCATCAGTACGTATAAGGCTAATAATACCACAAAACACAGTGTTTTGGAGATCCCAGCATGCAGTATTTCCGGCAAACGCGAAGCAAGTCAAGCTGGAGGCGGCAAATGAGCATAGCCTTATAAGAAATATTCCTTTATTACTGTATATACCAACCATGCGACCTTTAATTGTCTAGTGCACTTTTCAGGAGGAAACATACTTTTTAAAAAGGTGGGCTACCTTCGTCACATCTACTGTGCCTGTGATGGTTTTCCTCAAAGTGAAGCAAGAATGCAATCAAAATATCCAACACATCCCCACAGGAAAAACAATGAAAGAGAATCGGAAAGATGCACGAAAGACATTTTGAAACGTGACCAATATAACCTCACGTCCTCACCAGAAGACACGTTAAATTAATCAACGTGTTTGCATGAATAATGTAGGCTACAATGAAGTTTGACAACTGGTGTTTAAGTGTGTTTACCCAATTCTGGAGATTGATCCATTTAATCCTATAAAAATTCCTTTTTTGACATGTTATCAAGAGGCGTGTACACACTAAAACTGGATACGATATAGGTACACGCATTCCTTGCGTCTCGCGGAGCTAAAGGATTAAGAAACTACAATCATTGCCAGAAACTATGGGACATGCAGCTGCTGTAATTTCGTATAATTTGCAAAGGAATAGCGCGGCCCCCGTTCCCCCAGTTCAATGTTGGGCCGACAAAAACATGATGTCTGGTTGCGAGGCGCCAACATTGAAACGGGTGGGGGGAGGGTGGAAAAAATGTATCAGTAAATGGTATATTACAACCGAATGCATGTGAAAACTATAGATTGTGCCAATCTATATTGTCAAAGATTGTCTGTCGAAGTAATACCATTACTCTTAAATGTAACTTAATTCAACTTGTAGACATCATCAAGCTGTGTACGCAGTTACATTTTCATAATTTCTTCATTCCTTTTAGGTCGTTTAGCAATTTCGTGGCAAACGGACGATTTTTGTGCACTGTGTTGGGAGTATCTATTTGGAGCGGGTAGCGGGTAAAAGGAGCGGGTCGCGGGTAAAAGGAGCAGGTAATTAAAAAAAGGAGCGGGTAATTAAAAAAGGAGCGGGTAATTAAAAAAGGAGCGGGTAATTTCCCAGGTGCGCGCCGGCAATCACTTGAGCCTGTTTGCTTTCTCTTGGACGACGCTCGAAATTTGAAGATTATGAAGGCATTTATAATCGTTCAAATCATTCATCAATCCTAATTAACCTCTTTATTTGAAAGAATTAGTTATTTTTATTCTAAAGGTATGTTCCATGTTTTTATTCAACTATTTCAATAGAGTTAGTGATGCATAAATGCACAGTTTGGAGAGAAAAAAGCCGAGACAGACTGTAGGTCAGTGGCGGAAATTCACTTTTTCCGGTGGGGGGGGGGGCAAAGCCTCCTAAATTTCCGACAATTGCAAAACTTTCAAATTTCCGACGTACCCCACCCCCCATTTTCACTCGAAAAGACTGTTTTTAGCCCTCTTTTAGGTCAAAATTTCCGAAAATTCGTCAATTTTCCGTGAAGGTGGGGGGGGGGGGCGGCTGCCCCCCCCCGCCATACCAAGAATTCCGCCACTGCTGTAGGTTTTCGAGTAGCACTTGTGTTATAATACTTTTTGTCCATTTGGTGACCCAAAAACGTTGCGTTAGTGCATTGTACGTATCTTCAGCACGTCACAGTAAGACATGTTCAGGCTGTTAATATCTGTCAATTTAACATTTGATAGAATTTTCGAGATTTTTTATGTGAAATGAATAGTTTCACTTAGTAAAAATAGTCCTCACGTTGTTTCAGTTACACTTTCATAAAAAAATGTCTTTTTTTGCTTTAAAATTCCCCACCGGCGCTTAGCACCTGGGAAATTACCCGCTCCTTTTCAAATTACCCGCTCCTTTTAACCGCTCCTTTCCTAATTACCCGCTACCCGCTCCAAATAGATACGCCCCACTGTGTTATACAATGTTTGCGTGTGTTAATTAGGAAATAGCTAAAATCCGGCTAGTGAAACATTGCCTAGGCTATATTCAAAATCAGATTTAATTAATTTAAATGCTTGTAGTGCTACATTTTAGTAACAATTCATTGAATTCCATGTATATTGGTAACGGTATTGGAATTCTATTTAAAGAAAACTGACAACTGCGCCATCTTGTTAGCATAACTAAGCGCGTAGGCCTATATGTGTACGATCAATATGGAAACGAATCTCACCACGAATCGCACTATATTTTCATGAGCTCACACGTCATAAAAGCCTGAATAGCAGACAATATAAAAAAATTCACCTTATACGTTTAAAGTCCAACATATTTTACAAGACAGCACGATTTTTCACAACGAACTGACAAAGATACGAATGATTTTCCAACAACGATTCTCACTTTCTGTCTTAAAATAGCCAATGACGATATAGATTTACTTACAGTTTTGTAGTGAGCATCGTTCCAAAACGAACTTAAAAAGGGATATCTGCAAAGCTTACCGTTTGTAATTAAGTAAAATGGTTTCTTGTACCCATATGAATATGAAATGTAAGATATATAAAATTTATATCAACGCTAATCAGCGTTTTTGAAGGACAGCATGCAACTTTTTTAGTACATATCCGCGGATGGATATAATATCTAAAACTACCAAAACGTTACCCATATGCTTTGATACTGGAATATATGTTATTGCACGGTATAAACTTAGATCTAAAACGTGTAATTACCAAATTCCATATACCGTTGATCACCACCAAGACAACCATATATTGCATGTGTCGTGAAACATGGCATTTATCATTTAATTAATTTAAACGCTTGTATATATAGTGCCACATTTTAGTAACAATTCATTGAATTCCATGTATATGGTAGCGATATTGGAATTCTATTTAAAGAAAACTGACAACTTAGCCATATCTTGTTAGCATAACTAAACGCGTATTTACGATCAATATATGGAAAGAATCTCACCACGAATCTCGCTATATTTTCATGTGCTCACATGCCATAAAAGCCTGAATAGTAGACAATATAAAAAAAATTCACCTTATACATTTAAAGTCCAACATATTTTACAAGATAGCACGATTTTACAAGAGATTGCTGCTGTAATTTCATATAATTTGAAAGGAATATAGCGGCCCCCGTTCCCCCATGCAGTTCAATGTTGAGCCTACAAAGATCCACTGGGAAAAAAAGTGAAATCCATACTACGAAATTAGCAATTGCACCACTAAATCCATAGTATATCCATACTATTTCCTTACTATATTCATACTATGGAAATATACAATTATTATGGATAAGCAAAATCCATTCTATTTCCAATAAAGATCCATTCAATTTCCATACTGGAATTTCAAATTTTTTTCGAGGCGCCAAACATTGAAACGGGTGGGGGGAGGGAGGGTGAAAAAAATGTATCAGTAAATGGTATATTTCAACCGAATGCATGTGAAAACTAGATTGTCTCAATCTATATATTGTCATGCAAAGATTGTAGACTTTGCTTAGAGACAAAATTTACAAAATCATGTCTGCAAATATTCAGCTTGCATGGCTAAGTTTGGTTTTTCAGTGGTCAAAAATAAAATGACTATATATAGTGACAGAATTAATGCATGGTTATTGAAATTTTTTATACTTAAATTTCTTACGTTTCTTTAAATTTAACGCCAACATGTTCTCTTTCCTACTGCATGACATGTATATTATGATTGCGAATTGTATACGTATATGACACTCGATGTCTAAACATAGTTAACTATGGTCTAAAGTAAATACATCTTAATTTAAAAAATTTTGAAACTTCTTATATACAATAAGTGATAGGCAGTTATACAGACACAATTTTACATGATGTTATCATCTCTTCTCATACAACCAACTACGAGCGAAAACTGTCCGTGGCCCATGGGATTGGATCGATCAATTTTCAAACACACATAACTATTCCTCTGCAATTACAAACATACATGTTCCATAGTTACAATATTATATATAAAAGACAAAAACTAGATTTTGAAAATAATCTATCGAATATGCAGTGTGTCCCAAAAATGCCAACCTAGTGAAGACGTGCAGGTAACGAGAATCTGTGGAGCGCCTGTGCAAATATGAGCAAGTAAAAATGAGCTCAATAATCAAGAAATACAAAAAAGAAAATAAATATGCTTTTGAGACTGTCGCCACGCAAAGGTTTATACTCTGGGTTTATACAGCTTGTGTAGTTTAATATATATAGTTAGGATCATGGAATCTCACAGACGATCGGGCGGATGCCTACTAAAAATCTGTAACATATAATTATATCAATGCCTATACATGTTTTGGACATCCATCGGAGGCGATTCAAATGAGCATATAGCCTTATAAAAATATTTCTATATATCAACCATGCATGCGACCCATTTATTATAATTGTTGTGCGCATTACAGGAGCAAACATACTTTATGGAAAGGTGGATTAACTTCGTCAGATATACTGTTCATGTGATGGCATTCTTCAAAGTGAGCAACAATGCAATCAGAATATCCACAGAGCTCGGTTGCTTCAATTCAACCCCGCCACCACCACCACCACAGGTAAAACAATGAAAGAGAATTGAAGACGCACGGAAAACATTTTAATTGTTTTTGTGATACCATTTCTGTCAATTTTACTCTATTCTGATTGGTTAAAGGATATCATCAGACTTTGTGGAAAAAGATCCCTTTTTTGACAAGGTGTCAAGGGGCGTACAACACAAAAGCATATAAACCTGAACACAATATTGGGTCATTCATTACATCGCAAGAAACTGCAGGAAGAAGACAAAACGTGGAGACGAAATTTTCGATATGATGTTTGCGAAGATTCTGTTGACGATCCTGATGGTTTCAGCCTGGCTGAGCTTGGCTTTTGGTTCATCGCAAAGCGACGAGGTTTAAGTGACAACAATGATGATATATAGGCCACATCATTTGTTTTTAAAATTTCTTATATTTTTTCAAAATTTAACACTGGCAGGTTTTCTTACTCTTGGGGCGTCAGTTCGATTCCTGCGAGAGGGTGGATATAGTTGCATTTTTCGCAACTGTTCCTGGTCAGATCTAATAAATTTATAAAAATCCCATATAAAACTCCCTTCAACGAATTGTATGGCACCCGATGTCTACACTCTTTATCTTATTTCTTAATATGTGACGGCATTTTGCAATTGTTTACTATTAAGTGTTATAGTTAGTTAAACAGACGCGAATAAATGCTATAAGTTATAAGCATAATTAATAAACCACGCGCCTTACAAGATGAATCTAGTAGATTCAGTCTACACAGAATCACTGAACATTATGATGCTTGTGATGTTACTCTGAGTGTATATCCACACCGGGCAAGCTTGAAAAATATGCCTGGCCACGGTGGGAATCGAACCTACGACCCTTGGAATACTAGCCCGGTGTCCCAGCAGATTTGGACCCCCCTCAAAATAGATCCACCGGTCCAAATCCGCTAGCGAACATAGATCTTTATTCGCTAGCGGATTTGGACTCCCCTCGCGAATTTGGACCCCTCGCGTATTTTATCATTGCAACGTATTATATTTTGAATATTGTACTGAAAGTGTTATAAATCGTCATAAATCTCATCTGATTTATTTTAAAAACCTTACGAAGATTTTTAGATCATTAAATCTTAGATTTTTAGGTTAAAGAATTCCGTCAAAGTTTATGATTTATAATCTTGGAATGTGCGAGAACTGAGAAGCGCATGAAGCCTTCACAAGTATTTTACTCCTTGGAATTGCTATCTGCTCTGACTCTTAACTGCTCAAATAAACTGAACGGAAAATATATTTCAAATTATTTTTGCCAAAACATACCCATAACAAAGTGATGCATTCCATTCAACCCTAAACTTTTATAAAATTAGCATCTCAATAACTTGTTTTCGTCATTAAGCAAATTCCAAGATAGTTGAGTCATGCCATTAGTTATCATAATTTAAATTAAACTGACGCCTAAATTTCCATGCACATTCAACTGCAACTAATCGTTTCAAAATTTCTTCTCTTTGTGAACTTTAGGGGGTCCAATTCCGCGGAAGGGGATACATATCAGCTAGCGGATACGTACCGCAGGCGTCCGAATCCGCTAGCTGATATGGACCGGGGGGTCCATATCCGCGGGGAGTCCAAATCCGCTGTGCCAACTGAGCTACGCGGTCAGGTCGGTGCGAGTATGTGATATTTCGGAACCGAATCTAGTTCCTTCGATATCAATGTAGTCTAATAATCATGATTCTTTCTGTGTTGGTGCAACGTCTGGCATCGTTATGTTCAAAGCTATAAGGCATGATTTTTGACCCCTGTTAAGAAAATATGACTAAGTAACAATTTTATTTAGTTCGTAGCGCAAGAGCCAGCCATGGACGTTGAATCCGACCATGATCTTGATGCCGGTAAGTTATAAGCGATAAAGTTTTTTAATTAAGGAAGTTATTATACCATGTGACATCATAGTGAGGATGCTAATTTACATATCAAAAATTGTTAAGAGGAGAATCTTTTGTATGTTATATAACACACGAATATATACCTTTCCATACACTTGGTTATGACTATATTTTATACGTTTCCCAAGCGGCAAACGAACTTAAAAAGTATGTTTAGTGCTTTATCTGTAAAATTATACTAAAATGAATATATTTTAGATGGTATAAGTCTGAAGTTCTGTTATTTTTGCTTATATCGCTGCCGGCTGTATAAATATGGCGTCAATTTTACAGCATCATTCATCAATACAATATGACATCATAATGAGGATAATTTGCATATCAAAAACGAAGATAGGATAAGCTAGCTAAGATGTGCTAAGACAGTTTGGCAAAGTATCTTATTCGGTCAATTTGAATTTTGATTATTTAACACATACAGATTTCCATGTATACGAGGATCACAACTGTATATGCTGCGTAGCGCGTTCTCATGATAACTCTTTTTAGTAGAATCATACTAGTATACTACTGAAAATGTTGTAATTTGATTGGCTACTCTACTCGCTATCTATATTCCTCGATAGATAGCGAGTAGCAAAACAATCATTTTCCTGGCGCACTTTAAAAAAAAAAATGGCTTCCGGCTCGCGTTTTTCTGAGGTTTCTGAAGACGAACTTGATTGTTTACTCTGATTCTACTAAAACGATTAGATTACTCGCTCTTGATTTCTATGAGGTGATAGCTGATTCGGGCTTCGCCCTTATCAATTATCACCTCATAGAAATCGAGAGCGAGTAATTTAAAAGCATGCGGTCCAATGTCTCTATGAAAAAGGTCACAACTTATAATGTAAAGTAAGAATATGTTTTTGTGATGTTGTCTGCGAAATATCAGTATCTGGAGCAGACTTGACCTTGTAGCTCAGTTAGTAGAGCATTGGACTGGTAACCAAAGGTCGCGGGTTCGATTCCCACCGTGGTCAGGCAAACTTTTCAGCTTGCTCGGTGTCATGGACGCACTCGAAGACAACATCACAATCATATATCTTCACCTGATAACACCAGAAACACAAAATTCTATTTCATTTGTAGTTAATGATACAGATGATGTTATGGAAGATGTCATGTTGAAGCGTAAAGCAGCCATGGACTTCTTCCAACGTGATCGTCGCGGTCTGCACCATGAATGTTATGATGAATGCTGCAGCTGGGAGGAAGTTCGTGAGCATTACGAACATGACATACCTGCTGCAGTACGTTTCATTTCACAAGTGGCATGCTGGCTCCTGTTAGAAGTTTTATTGACAACTCCTCAAAGGGGTTTTTCAGTGACAATATCGTCAGGAATTTACAGTTTTGGTTTCATTTCATGCAGTTTCGGCGCCCCCTAGAGCTCTTGCACCCCCTCAAATCCCTCGCAGGGCCAAGCCCCTCCCCTAGCTCCCCTGCCAGCACGCCACTGGATTCACTACCCAGTGAAAGTCCCCTAGGGGCAGGCCCGTAACTAGCATTTTAGATTGACGAAGTCAAGTGCCGAGAACCCTATGTAGAGGGGTGTGGAGGCATGGGCTACCCACTTTGTTAGCTGAAAGTTGGATGTGAGAGATGTCCACTTTTCGGAAATTGACGGCAGATGTTCGGCTTATGTTCGGAAATTTCGTTCATGAAGTGTTTTTTAAAATAAAATAAATTAAAGGCCCATTTCCAAAGAAAATTTTGTAAATTGTGATTGTCGACACAAATTTTCCGTCGGAAAAAATTTTGAAGTTGAAAGTTTGCAACTTTTATAACAATGATATTTTCGGAAAATTTTCTGTCCGTGGAAAATTTTCTTGAGTGGAAATGGGCCTTTATATTCTGCGAACTATGAATTATGGAAAAGTTTAGTATTTCCAAGACGTTTTATTAAGCAACGCCAAAGGCGAGTATTCTACGTGTATTTATATCGACCTTTTGTTCAGTTTAAATTAATCACAGCAGGGGTACACATAACAAAGCAAAAACCATCTTGCATTATTAAAAACAGCATAACAGTAATTGTTGTGCATTTAAATCGAATTTTGCGATTTTATATATTCGCAAAAATACGCTGTTTTACAGCTGGGGTCAAAATATTTGATCGGACGCCATTTTACGAAAATTAAACGAAGCCATTGTTTTATCTTAAAAATTGGTACTTTGAGGTAACCTGGGGGAGGGCATGTACCCCAGTGTCCCCCGGTTCCTACCTACGCCTGTGCACGTGAAGGCTACCCACATGTACGCAATGCGTACCTATTTTTATATTCTAAGGCTTAGGAAGTAGTCATTATTAATGACGGGGGTAGGTGGAAGATATTTTACAAATCTTGACTTTTTCGTGGCCCCTCTTCTACTCCGAATAATTTTTAATGGCTCACCCCCAAGCTTACTGTTTATTTTCCAACACTCTCCCTCCCCCAAAATATTTGGACAAAGCGAAATGAAAATATTAGTGTTTTTTTTTTCAATACGCATGGAAATGTAAATTCTACATCCTTCAAAATATATGCAACCCAAGACGATAATCGATTTATTTTATAGAAATTTAAATATTTCTTTCTGTATCAAAAATATGTTTTAAATATATTCTAGATAAAATATTGGAGAACATACCAAAGTCACAGACACATTATTGGCTGTTGATCCGTAAGGATTCATTTAGTAATTTACTAGTTTTGATACCATGTCATTTCCTGACATGTCCATGTTCATAATTACATGTGATGCATGCTACATAATATTTTAACTTTAATTAAAGCTTATACTTTTTTGTTTTTTATAGATTAGAGTGGCAATCTTTCATTTATACAAACGCATTTACAGGATGTAGAAAAACGTAAAATAGAATTATGTATTGATTGAGTAGAAATAATGCATGCCAAAATAAAAATTATTTGTTTGCAAGTACATTTGTCTTCAATTTCTACTAGGCAAAACTACCCAAGCTCCACCAGTTGCGGTGTCCAAGCAAAGTTAAGGCCCGTTCACTGCAAAAAACGCATTTTTTTATTCGAGTAAATGTTACTCATTTTTTTAGTAATTACACCAATTACTCAATAATTTGAGTATATTGTACTCTTTACTCATAAACGTGAGTAAACAACAACTCCGAATTTTGTTGAGTAATATTATTTGAGTAACTGCCACTCAAAGAGAAGAGTATAAACTACTCAATACTGAGTAAATGACAAAATTTACTTTACTCAAGGGTTGAGTAAAATTCACCAACTCAATATTTTGAGTAAATGCAGATTTTTACTATTTTTGAGTAAATGAAGCATTTACTCAAATCTTGAGTAAGAGTAAAGAAGAGCTTTACTCAAGAAGATGAGTCTAACTTACTCAACATTAACTAAATGACAAAATTTACTTTACTCAAGGGCTGAGTAAAATTCACCAACTCACTATTTTGAGTAAATGCACATATTTACTCATTCTTCAGTAAATAGAGAATTTTGAGTAAGAGGAAATAACAGTTTACTCAAGAAGATGAGTATAATTTACTAAGCACTGTGTAAATGACAAGATTTATTTCACTCAAGAGTTGAGTGAATTTCACCAACTCAGTAGTTTTAGTAAAGACACATTTTTACTCCTTGTATATAAGTAAAATATAAAATACTCAAATCTTAAGGATCACCGATAATTTATGACAAATCTTGTAAATAAACTCAAATATGCAACTACCATTATTCATTAATACATTTTGATTAACAAAATTTATTTACACATTTTTTCAGTAATTGCACTGATTACTCAAGCATTTGAGTATATACGTTTTACTCATTCGTTGTCAAAAGCCACTTTACTGAATTTTTTAAAAACATTGATATACACGCAACACCTACTTTTGTGGATTTTGTGCATTTCGAATTCTATAACACGGCGTACAAAAACAAGAGCTGAAGGATGTGTCATCTCAGTGACATGAGAAGTTGCAGTGAAATTAAATATGATCGATAACATCCTGTCGCGAGAGACATACAGAGAGGAACCTGACACTCGATAACCTCAATTTATGTGTCACGCGTTCCATGCGCCACGCAAATTTCCCAGCCAGTGCCGTCGCTGATATTTCACAGCAAAAGATGGAGAAAACGCCGTTCGAAAAGTGAAAATCGCTTTTTTTAAAAAAATGAGATACCCATGGAAATTTTGTTCAATAAATTATTGAAAGTGTTGACGTAACATTTTATTTTGCAAAAGTTTGTTTTTTCCCCTATCTACTCCTTATAGTCCAGCGGAAAAGTAAAAAATCATGCACTTTGTGAAGAAAGCACCCAATTCACAGGAAGTGTAGACTTTAACATGATAATGAATCTTAGATATGGAGGCATAACCAAAATTGATGCTGACGGCTTAAAATTTAGGATTTCTTATATTCTCTTATTAAACTCTATTACTGTTTAAAATTGTGAAATTGCAGTTTCACATATAGCAAAAATGACTTGCATGATTAGAAAGCTTACAAAAAACTACATATAAGACTTTTAAACGGCTGATTGATTTTCCAAGCGGATTTCCAGTTATTGCTATTTAAAAACGTGATAAATAGGCAAAAGTCCTGGACACTAGCCCTAAACATATTTTCAACCGCTCATAACTCCAGAGGAGTTGGAAAATCAAAGTAACTGCTTAAATGTCTTATATGCAGTTTTTTGTAAGCTTTCTAATGACGCATGTCATTTTTGCTATATGTGAACCTGCAATTTCACAATTTTTAATTGTATAAGAGATTAATAAGAGAATATAAGAAATCCTAAATTTTAAGCCGTCTAATTCATCAATTTTGGTGATGCCTCCATATCTAACATTCATTATCATGTTAAAGTCTACACTTCCTGTGAATTTGGTGCTTTCTTCACAAAGTGCATGATTTTCTCAAATATCTGTGCATATCCACTGGACTATTATTAAAATCGTGAAATGCATTGGCTGGGAATTTCAGATACTCATGTATAAATAACAAAGCAGCGAACATCAAAGTCGACTCAGGTATCGATATAATATTCCAGCTAAAATCCTGAAAATATCCGCGAACAGAATAGCTCCATCAATAACTAAGATCTTTAACATCTCATTAAATTCAGAAATTTTCGTTGATAAATGGAAAATGGCCTGGGTCCTACCAATTTACAAATCCGATGACAAACGCAAATACGAAAATTATCGGCCAATCTCAATATTGCCAAATATTAGTGAAATTTTCGAGAGATGTGTTTTTAATAATCCATCATGTTACATTAACTTGCCTGATCTTATTAAACTCCCACAACTTGGCCATATAGATTATAGATTATAGGATTGTATGCTGTGTGGATAATGTCGCATTATAAATGAAATTTGACATCTGAAGTGTGTTTACCTGAATGAATAATTTTCTTCGAGAAGCGGATTTTGAAATTCATCGCCATGCAAACTACACAAAAAGGAATAATATCGAAATTAAAACTTTTCTTGTCAAATTCTCCATTAAGCTCTCAATCATTAACTGCCATCAAAATTTAAACAGCTCAAAGTTAAACAGCTCAAACGCGGTGAAACGCGTGCGAAAGTTGCGCTGATTCTTATCAACTCTCATCCTACAAGGCACAGAGTAATTACATACAGAGGTCTCACTTCAGGTTAATATTTAACGTAAGAGATTTTTCCAGTCCGCCATGTTCCTAGCAACTGCCCTAAAGAGAGGTCGTCACCCCCTGAAAACATATTGAAATTTGATGTTCCAGGGGGGTTAATGCCTCTCTTTAAGGCACTTGCTAAGAACGTGGCTGCCAGATATTCGCAGTAAGATCCTGGGTACGAGGTCGTAACTAAAGACCTGTGACCAAGGCTTGATAAATCCAAGATACGTATCATGTCGTATAAAAACTGTATAATGGACAAAAGGGATGGATGTTTTCAAGTAGTTCAAAAGTCCGCCTTATTTTAGGGTTAATGATAGGGTTTGGTAACGTTATATAAGTGCATGCTTGTTGATTCTTCTGCGTTTTAACGGTCTTGAAAAACCTTGCTCTTTTTCATCCCTTTTAACAACGACCGTATGGCGACAATTTTTTATGGTCTCATTTGAAAGAACGTTTAAAATTATCTCTAAAATCTTGAATAGATTTTTCATCTCTTGCTTAATTCTTGAAACGCAAGTTTTTTTTTAACTTGAGAGCCAGTGATCAATATGAACCCGAAACTCGTTTTTGGTTGCTTTTTCAAATTTCGAATTCAATAAAAACATTTTAAATAACTTTTGATTGTTTCTCAGGAGCTTAGAAGTAATTTATAAGGCTAACCTCACTCTTAACATCATCAAAACGATAGTTAATGAGGTTAGGAATTAATCCAAAATGGCGGAAAGCTCATTGCTCTCAGTCAAAATATTTCAAGAGTTCAACCCGACATGAAAAATCTGTAACAACATTTTAGGGATAATTTTAAACGTTCTTTCAAATGAGACAATAAAAGTTTTTGTTTCATGCATTGTCGTTTGAAGATTTTTCACATTCTGTAAACATGCTCTTGAAAAAATTAGAAATAACAATCTCAGTAAATAGTGTTTCTCAGTAGAATCTCAGTAAAATCTCAGTGATGTGAAGCAACAATGCAATCAAAATATCCACAGAGTGGTTGCTTAATTCAACACCCCCCCCC